TTTCATCATTATTTCCAGTGACATTTACATTTGAATGCAATAAACAAATTCCCTTCATCAAATTCACGAGAACCCAAAGTTATTGAACCCCTTGAATCACATTTTCCATCTCCCTGTGGATACGACACCCCAAGGCTATACTACGACACCGCGTAACACTTTGGGCGTAATCATGTGACCAATAAATAATATGTGATTAATGAAAAATAAATTGAAACCAAGAAATAACGTGTGACCTAAAAATTGTTAATATGTGACTGATAATTATGATACTTGTGATTTGTGACCGATAAATAAATTGTGACATATAAATTTTTTATTTGTAGTCGATGAAGAAATTGTGGCGTATAAATTTTTTGAATTGTGGCAGTAAAAAAATTTGTGACATATAAAATTTGTAATTTATGACCAATGAATAAATTGTGACGTATAAATTTTTTATTTGTAATCGATGAATAAATTCTGATTTATAAAATTTTTGAATTGTGACCGTAAAAAATTAGTGACATATAAAAATTATGATTTGTGATAATTAATAATATGTAATCAATTATATGGAATTTGTGACCAAATTATATGGAATTGTGACCTAAATATATTTAATTAATAAAATATACGTTTAATTAATTAATTTATAAATAAGATTAAAAAAACTGAAATTTTAAATTTTAAACATATTCTTTTAAATTTGAAATTAGTAAAACTAAACCTTTTAATTTTGAGATATTCCCTTATTCTATATCCACCTAAAGCAAAGGGACTTGTAGAGTAAGCAAACTTCCGAGCCCAAAACAGCCTTCTTGGCAGGTTATTCAAGGCCACAAACAGAAGCACGTTCTATTAGTTTGCTTCTCAAAATTCTCAAACTATCAACTCCTCTCTCTCTCTCTCTCTCCCTCCCCCTCTCCTTCCTCTCTCCTTCTCTCTCTCTCTCCTCTCTCCTCTCTACTTCTCTCTCTCTCTCTCTCTCTCTCTCTCTCTCTCTCTCTCTCTCTCTCGCACACAGAGACTGAAGGAGATGGAGACATGGGGAGTGAGAAGGTTTTGGGCATGGATGGAAAGCTCACTGCCATTCATGGCCATGGTGTTGGCTGTTATAGCCTTAGCGGCCAACATGATAATAAGCAAAATGGCCATGTCTACTGGCACCAGCTTCTTCATTTTATCTTTCTACTCTAGTGCTTTGGCTACTCTCATACTTTTTCCTTGTGGCTTCTTCTTCCACAGGTACCCTTTACATCTTTATACTTCTGCAAATTTTCACTTTTTAGTGTCTGGGCTGGGCATAATTTGAGTTATATTTCACAATTGGCAGATCAAAGCTTCCACCACTTACCTTTTCAATCCTCTGGAGAATTTTCTTGCTTGCTCTATTTGGGTTAGTAAAATTCATCTTTGATGTTTAATATTAATGTGTGTGTATGTTATTTTGCTGTAATCGATTTGTTTGGCAGTCAACGGATTATGATATGAAAAAATAACTTTGCTACTCAAACAGGGTTGGGGACAGGGAAATGAACTCAGCCCTTGATTTGAATTTCAACAATTCAGATCAAGGGCTTAGGTGCATCCACCTCAGCCCTGTTTTTATTCCCTGTTTGCAGCCCTGTTTGAGTAGCTTTAAATGAAAAAAATGTGAATCTGCTTGTAGCTGAGAGGACGTGTTGATGATTCTGTCTAACAGCTTAAATGCTTAATGGTTCAAGAATTGAGGTATTAGAAATTGTTTCCCAAATCGGACCGTCCTACTTGTGCAACCTCATATCACACATGGGAACATTGGGACCTCTGTAAGAGTTTACAAGTGGTGTTTCCTAAATCTTTTTGGTTGAAGCTGAAAATTGGGAATTATTTTATTACAATAGTTTCACATCAGATAACATCACATCATCAATACAGACATTGACCTGTACCTAATGGTAATTTTGCTCTAAAGACTCGGAAAGTTTTGCACATTGATCTTGCCTTTAATTCCCATTGGCTAGCATCTTGACAATTTTTTTTTTTTTTTTTGTATTTGTCATTTTGTCTTCACCTTTCATGAGATTTCATAATGTGCATTTTTCTTAGAGTACTGAGATTTCAGGTTCTCTAAGAGAGTGTTTGGTAGGGATTACAATTAGATTTTTAGTAGATTTTGATAGAAGTTTTTGAAATGTGTGGTTGAAAAGTTGTGGGACCCATAAAAGATGTGGTTAATATTGATTGTTTGACTTTTACTTGGATTAAAATCAGATTTTAATACGGACCAAACATGGGCTAAGTGTTGAGATGTCCGTCAGAGACCTTTTATTGTATGGTAAGACAATACTTTAAACTCACTTACAGATATTAACTGAACGAGAATACTAAAATTTTGGATTCTTCAGCTATAAAAATTAAAATGCATTTTGCATATATGCCTAAGTCTTAACTTCTAATTTTGAAGTTTGAATCAGTAGAATTGTAAGCGTCTAGAAAATAATTGTCGATCACCGATATATCTCCATGAATGCATTACCATCTTTTATGTCCGCAACTAATGTGCACTAATTTATGTTCCTTTATTTCCTTTCTCCATAACAAAGTACCAACTTCCCTCATTTTAACAGATAA